GAGACTTACATTATTGATATGCATAGCGCTAGTGAATTTTTAAATTTGAAGAGAATTAATAGCCTTGCAAAGGAAGTTAGTTGAGACAAGAAGGATTTTGTTTATCCATTGGTTTATTTGTTTGTGAAATTATCATTGATTTTACCTATTGCCACAACTTCTATAAAAAGGGCACTTTTTGCAATGAAGATAGTGAAAAATCGACTACATAATTGAATGGAAGATCATTGGATGAATGATTATTTGGTCACATATATTGAAAGAGATGTATTTAATAGCATTGATAATGAGTTGATCATGCAATACTTCCAAAATATGAAAACTCGTCGAGGGCAACTATGAGATGTATCTATTTGTCATAAAATGTTTAAAGTGAAAACATTTTAATCTCATTTTCGTTTTAATTATTCAAATATTAAAACTAAGCTGATGTTATGATAATGTTTGCCCCCACTAACTAGAGGTTCTAGATCCACCACTGATATGGTGATTGGTGAAAGAAAACCATCATAGAAGGGCCCCAAGACCACGGAGATTTAAGACATTAACTTTGAAAATGAATAAACTGTTATTCTCAAAAAAAAAGAATAAATTGCATATAAACAAAAGTCCATTGAACCAAATTACAAGAATTCTAAAAGACGAGGAAGAGGAATGGCAAAGGGAAAAAAAAAAAGACTATGATGAGGAGATCTATACCATAGGAGGACAACTTTCCTAGGAATCGACACATGGGGAATGAAATAACCTCGAAGTCATGCAACAAAGGCCCCAAACTTCAAATTCCCCTAGCGTTTCTTCCTAATGATGGCCTAGAATGCCTAAACAGATACCTTGTAAGATGGCCCCATATGATACAAATAGGCCTGTGCTAAGAAAATGTTTAGGGTCGTTTCATTTGCCCATTAATTTTTTATAGTTTCATTTTTGCCCTCTTCTTCTTCTTCTCTTGCTCCCCTTCAGTTCTGACTTGTCGTGTGTGAAAATTAAGTAGGGAGGTACCAAATTTTGATTAACTTTTACAAGAAACAAACCTAAGAAACTAAATAATGGAAAATTTTCTAAGAATTTTTACAAGGGGCAAACAGAGCAAATGAAATACTTCAATCAAATGGTGTTTGCAACAATGGAGAAAAAAGGAAGGCAAAAAGAAATATACACACAATGTTTTCAACACGTTGTTGACCCAGTCAGTTCAACCGTTGACCTGTTTGACTTGGTGACCAGATCACGGGTTGCACACTTAATGCATGCAAAACTTTCAGAGGCCATAACTTTGCACTCTAATGTCTAATTGAGAAGACTTTTTATTTTGGGTAACTTTTCAAGATCTATGCATCCCAAGGTGACATAGGCACCTTGCCCTGCTATTTTTGCGGAAAAAAACCCTTTTTTGGCCTCAAATTATAATTTTTAATATTTTTATAAATAAAAAAATTAAAATAGAATTAAAAAATATAAATTAAATATAAAATAATACATATAACATATATTAAGCATATTTATACATTATTTATTTCTAAAATATATATTTACACACACACACTCACACACATATATGCGATGATGTGGCACGGTCTAAACCATTTGACCCGACCGATCGAACCGGTGACCCATGACCTAGAGCCAAAAACGATTCAACTTCCAAGATGGTTTTTAAAACATTGTATATGTACTCTCCTTATGTTGAAAATCCTATATTTTTTATGATTTAAATAGATGTATTTATTTTTTTAAGAAATTTAAAAAAAAATAATATTTTATATTTTGGTTTAATTTGCTCATGAAGAATAATTGTGTCATAGATCTATGAGTGATTTACCATATCCATAGATCTATTAAAATTTCTAAAATATTCATTTTTTATTTTTTATAATTTTTTGAATAAAAATATTTATTTTTTCAATTTTAGTATGAAAAAAATATTTATTTTTTGTAAAACTAAAAATATTTATTTTTTAAACTTTTTGTAATTCTAAAATAATTTTTCCAATTTTTCATTCATAAATGTATTGAAATTTTTTGTAAAATATTTATTTTTTGTAATATTTATCTTTTTCTAATTTTTTGTGTGATCTAACCATAATATTTACCATGTTGTAAATATATTGATGATCTACCACATCCATAAAATTATTTTTCTGTAACATTTTATTTTTTAATTTTTGTTATAATTTTTATAATAAAAAATAAAATATTTCTTTGAATAAGAAATAAATAGTTGTTTAAACAATTATAGAAAATGTTTCATTAAATAATTATTAAGCTTATATTTTGTAGTTATACCCTTATTAGAGAATACCCTTATGTCTTCGTATGTTGATTATGACATTTTTTATAAAAATCACTAAAAGATGTAATTTTTATGTATATATAGCTCATTTAGGCCCTATATTTAATGTTATTGATGTATATTTATAATTTATTAGAGTATCTATAATGTTTTCATGCATTTCCATGCGTATTTTAATTTTTTATCCATATCCATGCGTATCCAAGGTTCAAAGTATCGATACGTATCAGCTGATATGTATCATGTCGATGGCTTCTGTACGGGTGTATTGGGGTTTTGACCGGTTCAGAGGGTGGAGAAGCCCTAAACTGGCCCCATTGAACCAAATTTGAAAAAAATTAAAAAAAAAAGCATAAAACACACTATCGATATCACGCGATACGCCATTACCGGCGTATCTGAAGGAAGAGGAAATCCATCATATGAATGGTCGAACCATGCTAGATGGATGGGCGAATTTTCAAAAATTTATTTTACCCTTCCAGGAATCGTATTCCCGATTTTAGAAAAACTACATTTTAAATGATCGTTCTTGCACCGAACTGGACTAAATCTGAAACCAAAAGAATGGGAGAAGTATACCTGATACGGAATCCACAAGTGTAGCTCCCAAGTGGTAGTTCACGCCCAAAGAGGGTACTAAAACCAGCTTCCACTGAAGATGGCGCAGCTTAGGTTGAAGCCAGTTCAGCAACGCAGTCCTTCAATAAGAACTGCAATCCAACAGCTTGGATCTAGCAAGGGAAGTGAGCACGAATTGAATCTAATTTTTCTTGCAAAAATCAGAAATCAAAACTGATCAAAATCAGTCACAAGATGGAGAACAAACTAGGGTTTCGACAAGAGCAAAAGGAGAAAACTGAGAGCATAAGTGGTTCTGGAGTAGTTCGCCCCCTCCTCCTTTTATAAGCCTTAAGAATCAACACTCATAATCCAATTAGGAGGAGTCTTTAATCCAAATCTTTATTTAGATCTAGACTCTTTAAGTGGATAAGAGGAACTCTTATCCTAATTGATGATCCAAACCCATATCCATACCCATATTCGCCCATGTCACATGACTACTTAAGTTGTCATATGACCACTTAATTAATCCAATTAATCATGGGCTTTAGGCCCATTAAGCAAATGGTTGACGACCCTAATTAGTTGCTGGCCCATTTGGCTTTCTTTGTATGTCGTGGGACCCCAACAATGACCTCACATAAGCCCATATGGGTTCAGCTCGGCTTCTATGAAAAAACCTGACCGAATTCACTATCAAGCACAGTGAACCTCTGATTCCATCAGCATGGGCTCTTAATGGGTCCAACATTTATATTAAATGGTTTTTGTGTCAATCCATCCTATAAAGACCCAAAGACAATGGACTTAAGTGAGATATAGCTCATCAGATAAAACAGCCCTAAATGGTCTCTTACACTTAACCTCCCATCCCTTAATGATCAAACACTGTCTGATAAGGGAGGACTTCTCCCTTAGCTACAAGGTATAGTGTTGCATTCTCTATTCGGATGAGTCCCAGGAATTAAAACATTTTGCAAACATTTTCCTTATATATTGCAAAACAAATCTCAAACAAGTTTGAAATCGACTGCCGGCAGTTTTGGTTTCTATCAAAGAGAATACAGTCCCGATCATTTACTTTGCCCAACAAATGGGCCGATCCTATCACTATGATCACCCACTCGAGTGAATTCTCAAACTGCCTCAACATACCCAGGTTTTGACCCCCAATAAATCTCACTGATTAGTACATCAAAGACAGCCCAATCCGACACCCAGTACAGTACCATAATCGAGTCTAAGGATTAAGTGTAACTTTCCAGTTTTGCCCACCAATCTCCAAAGTCTAAAGCATAACTGGAAATTGGTTCAGATTCAGTGTTTCGAACAAACACACACTGCATGTGCTTTGTATCTAACCCTGACAGTTAAGACAAGCTGCACCAACCTTATTGGCAGTTACACATCAATGTCAATTTTGGCAGAATAAACTTCCTCAAATCTATCCAACGGCTAAGAACATTTTAAACTAACACGAGTCTCATAAATGTCCAATTTAAGGATAATTACACAAAAACACACCATATATAACATAAATCAGTTATGTACTTTAATTCATTTATAATAAATGGATATGTACATAAATCTAATTGGAACTAAGGGCATACACTATCTAACAGTATCAGGCGTATTGATATTTTGAACCTTGCTTAGAATAAACCAACTTGTAGCTGACATGATACTTTCAAGAACAAACAAACCAAAAGCATTCACAGTTTAGAACAACTCCTAAGTGGTAGGGGGGATCAAGATTTCCTCACAAAACATACCTAGCGTACCTCACTGACCTCAGAGCACATCCCACCATGTATTGGAAACATCTCCCATATGAATAAAAACAAACAAATTGAGTGATGCTCCCGATGAGTGGCTGGTGTTGTGAGTAGATGCCCGACGGGTGGGGGTGTGGGGATGGGGGAGGTCAGCTTAAATTAATATTCCATCAAGACCATTAATATTCCAGCACTCGCTAGAAATAACCACAAATTTCCATGTTAGAATTGCTATTAGATAGAGAAAATCATACAGCTCCGAAAAAAATATGTTTTAGTAAGAAATAGTTTTCATTCAAGCTTCTAACGGAAAACAATTTACCATATATACTCTTTTTAGGGTAAATGGAAAAAGGAAAAAAAATTGATATAATAATGCTTCGCAATTTTAAAATGTTTCTAAATTTTGTTCTCATGTACTAGAAGCTAGCTCGTTCTTCATGTTTAGCATACATGAATGAATGATGTATTCAAGAAAAGAATACATTCTCACAGAAGGTTATTCATGAATTACGTAAAGCCCGGTTATTGAGAGATTAAAAGGAAATTTCCTGATTATTATGCGAGATTGAAAGGAGTTCCAATGATACACATCATATCAACTGCTCAACTCTGATGTAAGCTACAATCATTCCCAAAATGCCTAGCTGTCAATAATTTATTGGAACCTTGTAATGAGGACATCCAACAAGTTGTTCCATCTCTTCTTTATGGAAAAAGGTATCAATATACACGCGCTTTGGGTGGGAATGACTCAACCTCGTCATCTAATGTTTTCATGTGGACCGGTCTGTAATCTAGACGGACCTTCTCGTTCACCCAGTATCTGCAGACATAAGTTTCCATTTATAAAAGTGAATTTGGAGGATTATTAACGAGTGCATATATTTAAAACCAACACTTCAATATAAGGAGCACCCAGAACTGAAATAAACCAGCTAAGTAGAATCAGTAGTTTCACAACTATGCAGAAAATAATAATCCTCGAAAATGGACGTGTTAAGTGTTCAATGCTAAGAGAAAAACGGGTCAATAAAAGAGATGCGAAGAGAGGTAAAGGGTGTTTTATATTGAGCAAACATCTAAGGCTTCCACTGGATTGACTACACCAACAAACTACCAACAGAATGGCAATTCATAGCATACATGGAAGATTGGACCCTCCATTTGATGTATTTATTCATGAACCATCCAGCTGGTTGGTAAGGTCTCTTGCTGGTCGTAGCAGAAACTTGGGATCAAATCCCACCTGCACCTGGGTTGAGGGGGTTATGGGTTGGGAGATGGGCTACCCCCCATTGTGTAGCCCTTCAAAAGAAATTAACAAAAAAAAAAATTAAATTACAAGAACTGCATAAAGTTATCCTAATCATCCAGCCAGTATACACACCTCAATTAAGCCTTATCCCAACTATATGGGGTCAGCTAAATAAATCCTGTACCACCATTCCAGTCAGTTACATATCCATTATTAAATTATGGACCCTCAAATAATTTCTCACTACTTCCAACTCATGTCCTTCTAGGTCTCCCCCTGGCTCTTCTAGACCCCTTCAACTTGTAACAGATCACTTCTTCTCACTAGTGCCACTGGTCATGTAGATGGTCTTCTCAACATTTAATCAAACCATCTTAATCTACTTTACCTCATTTTATCACCCCCAATGGAGCTACTCCTAGGTCACTACAAATTCACTTCTAATCATATACTTTGTAGTTTATTCTAATCCATCTCAACAAACATTTCTGCTACACCCAATATATTAATTATTTATAAAATTTTCCTTTTAGCTTAATCTCTTCCCTTGTCATGGATTATCTAACCAAGGTAACAAGAGATATCACATTGAGATGTCACTTTATCTCCAATCCTAATTGTACCCTGATTCCCACCTTATTATTATTAAACTTATATTTGCATATATATTCTGTTTGAGTCCTACTTATTTTGAAACCTATTGTTTCTAATTTGTCAATAAATCTAATTTTACATTTAGTTCCTCTGTGGTTTCATCAACCAATACTATGTCATCAGCAAACAACATTCTCCTGAATATGTTATCAATGACTAGTGTGAATAAATAAGGTCCAAGTGCTGATTGTTAGTGAAATTAATATAATATGTTTAGCCATCCGATCAGTATAATTTTTTTATCAAGAATCCAATAAAAAACGATAAAAGGAAAGACAAGAAAAAGGGTGCTATATGTTGGGGATTCTCAAATCTTAAGCTTGCATCCACAAACTCCTCTATTTCTGACATGGGATCCTTAAAATGAATACTGTGATCATAAGCTTACAAGTCTAGATAACAAAAGGAAATGAAGGCTTACCCCAGTGTATGTTTCAGCCAGTTCTCATCGTCCCTTTTCTGCAAAACCAATATGGGAAATTCTGTTAATAAGTTTCAAAGAAGGAAAAACAAAAAGACACCTAATATTTATGGAACCAACTGACCGTAAAATCTTCACGGGCATGTGCTCCCCTACTCTCCTTCCTTGCCTCAGCAGAATGCATGGTTATAGATGCATTTATCAATAGGTTTTCCAATTCTATAGTTTCTATCAAGTCCGAGTTCCTGCAGAGAAATGTCACATTTTTTTCAGGTCCAAGCAGAAGGGGAGGGTTTGTAGATAAATACCACTACCAACCAATCACATTTTGCAACCAATAAAATGGACCTTACCATATGAGGCTTCGGTCCTTTAACTTAACATCATGAAAGCTTTCCCATGCTTTGTCAATCAACCGACAACCTGAGGGACAAATTTAAAGTGGGTGGAGAAAGGGTAAAAGAGAAGAAAAAGATTAAAAGTGTCAATAAATGCATAATAATAAAGACAAAACAAGCTCATAGGTCCAAATCTTATCAATAAAACAGCAAAACAGCAAGCAAAAAGAGAAGATTGGACAAGAAAAAAGCATGTCAAAAAAAAAGATCAAAGCAAGATGGAAGAGGTATAGGTAGGTGAATACATGGTTCAAAGTATCAATACACCTCTTTGTATCGGTACTTTAAGTGATACACTTTTTTTTTGTTTTTTTTTTCAAATTTCACTTAAGTATAATTTTGTATGTTATTTAATAAATAGGGGTTCCCAAAAACACTTGTAAATAGGTGTATCAGGCACCCAAAGATACAATACGATACACCCAATACGGAGCATAACGTATCAATACTTTGAACCTTGGGTGAATACCAAGAATTAATTATGTGTTCATTTTTTGAATGTGCAATTTGAAGTTGTAAGTTAATAGAAGGAACTGATGAAAATGTTTTAATGGATCACCTTCTTCTAATGTCTCCTGTGTGCGGAAAACGGCAGCATTGTTTTGCATCACTCGCTGCATATTCAGACGGATTTTTGATGTTGGCAATGAACCATTTGAGTGCCTCAGTTTATCCAGCCATGCAATGGTTTTCTCTCCAGCATCACTTTCCAAAGGTTTTTGTTTCTCCCCTACAAACATAGCAAGCAGATGGATGTCAATTTGGTATAGAAGTGTCATTAAATGTAGGTCAGTATATTTCTAGAAGATGAAAACTAACCTGGTTTTAGGATCTCTGCCACTCTATTTGCACAAGCTCGACCAAAAACAACAATATCAAGTAACGAATTTGCACCAAGCCGATTGGCACCATGAACTGATGCACATGCTGCCTCACCAGCAGCCATTAGCCCAGGAACAACAGCATCTGGATCATTACCTTTTATGTGAACCACCTGAGAAGAGAAAACATAATGTCATTAGAAAATGGATATGTAGGATAAAGAAAGAACAAACCCTGGTATCACTATACATATTAGGCTCAATTCATACCTCTCCATGGTGATTTGTGGGAATTCCCCCCATATTATAGTGAACAGTAGGTAAAACAGGGATGGGCTCCTTTGTGACATCAACCCCCGCAAAAATGGCAGCAGTCTCAGAGATTCCAGGAAGCCTCTCCTTGAGTACATCTGGTGGTAAGTGATTTAAGTGAAGATAAATGTGGTCCTTCAGTGGTCCTGGAAAATATTGCCATCAAAGTAATTAGGAAAATCAAATGGGTGTTTTATCAAAGTAATTAGGAAGCACATGCTAGAAGAGACAGATAGCCATTCTGGATGGCTCAACAAAATGCCATCCAGTGCAACTGGGCCTGGCCCATGAAAGAGGCACATTATCTAACTTAGTTGAGTGGCAAGTGCAATAGGAGAGAGAGTAAAGTGCATATTAGAGAGATAGAGAGAGAGGATGAGAAAAGGGTCTTCTTCTGCTGCATAGTTTTTGTGTTTAGGGTAGAGCTGCAAACATTCTCCAAGTACCTCTGTACCCCCTCTCATCTACATCTTTTCCCACATTTAATACAATGTTTCTGTTACTTGCCTTAGAAAAAAGAAAAAAATAGTTCTAACTTCTAGAAATGCATAAATAATCATTATTTTTATTATGACATACTTCAAAGATTCAGTACTCCGTAGAATCATAAGCAGCAAAAAATTAACAATTTCAGAAACGAAAAAACCCATAGGGCTGGCACAAGCTAGCTAGTTCCATCAGACACTTCATGTAGATTCCCCTTCTATAAATCTATCAGTTACCAACTCAAGACACCACTCCTTCGGTCCTTGTATATAATAAATTCTATTTGAAATAAACAGTGATATACCAATAGCAAGATAATGTTCATCAAAATGGCTCTGTTGGCAAGGGCATACCTACACCACGACCTTCTCGTATTTCCATGGTCATAGATCTTGACACAACATCCCTTGATGCAAGATCCTTGGCTGTAGGTGCATACCGCTCCATAAATCTTTCACCTTCACTATTCCTAAGAATACCACCTTCACCACGAGATCCTACAAGTTGCATACAGATAGAAACCAAACAGAAACAATACAAAAGTCATTTCATTTCAAAACCCAAGAACAACTACAATGAACGGAGCATGACCACAAATTCAAGCAGAAACGAATTTTTCAAAGTCAAGAAAAAACAAAAACTTCAAGAGCAAATACACAAATGGCAACCTTCAGTAATGAGGCATCCTGCACCATATATACCCGTTGGATGAAACTGCACAAACTCAAGATCCTGCAGCAAAGAATGTGCAACAACTTATGGTAGGAAGACAAAAATACAAGTTGATACAAAAGCTCTTTTTTTTGATAAATATACAAAAGCTCTTTTTTTTATAAATGTTGGTACAAAAGCTCTTCAAGAACTGTAAACCAAGAAATGAACCTGAAGGGGTAACCCAGCACGTGCAACCATAGCATTGCCATCACCAGTACATGTATGAGCTGAGGTTGCAGAAAAATAAGTTCTACCATAACCCTGGACAAAGCAGAAAATAGGTAAAAGGGGGAAGGGATAGAAATTTATTACAAATAATATGAGATATTATGGGGTTTAAAAACATGGTACCCCTGTTGTTAAAATTGTTGAAGCAGCACGGAACCGATGTAATGTCCCGTCCTCCATATTTAGTGCAATTACTCCTTGGCAGGTACCTGAGAATAAGATAACAATAAGGAAAACAATTTCCATGATACAAATTCACACAAAAGTAGAACCTTCTTCATCCTTTGCATAGGTTTTATTTTCACCAGCATTCAGGGGTGAAGTGACAACTCAGAGATCTATTAACTGGTGAGATGGGATTATTTATCAGGCTGGACATGCCGGCCCCAGACTCACACAACATAATTGATGATCAGAAGAGAATTCTCTCACCATGATAACTCTTCATGTTTATGGCCCATTAACTCTGAAGTTCAGGAAAAACTTTGAACTAATTTTCCTAGTTTCTAAATTATGCCAACTAAGTCTTAAATCATCATCATCTAAGCCTTATCCTAACTATAGGGGTTAGCTACACAAATCCTGCTTTGCCATTCTATCTGTTTAGGGACATGTCCTTTGTTAAATTATAAGTGCTTAACATTAAGTCCTATACATATAAAGAATGTTTCTTTCTATTCCCTTTTCCTATTATTAATGAAATAAAATAAAGACAAAATGTAAAAATTAAAAGAAAAGAAAAAATAAATTTCAGCTTTGTAAATAAGTACAAAAACAAAGGAAAATAAAGCAAAGACTACTTTTTTAGTAAAGTTTTCTTAACAACAATAAAAATCTATAGAAAGGTTATTGGATGTCTCAAAGGCCATTTTGGATGTAGAAGTTGAATATAAAGACAACCTAGTGGAGACAAATTTCCATTGGAGAAAATTTTTTGCAAAGATTTTGTTCCACATTCCCTGATTGGAAGTGGAGATTTAGAAGTTCCCATATCAGTAATTTTCCAGAAAAAAAATAAAATAGAAAAGACAAAAAAAATCAACTTCTTAACTTTCAAGCCAGCAAGTGATAATACAAGCAAATATTCTATATTAGTATATATTAAATAAATGACAAATAATACATTGTAATTTCAGCATTCAAAAATTTATTTTGTTTAGCCTGAACAGAATGCAAAATGTTCAGACAATAAAAAATGTTGGTGCAAAGTGGCCATGTTCAAGAGTACTAAAGCGGATAACATGGAAAAGAGTAAAATTTATAAGCAACCTCCATAGAATCTTTCACCTACAACCAATGTTGCATGGACTATCAATAATAAAAAAAAAAAAAAATGTTACATTTACTGTCCTAAATGGACGAAGTGACACACAGGATTCCAACACTCCATAGATCTAGAGGGATACTTCCATGTTCTCTCCTAGCTTATTTGACACAAATGAACAGCTAATGAACACAATGAATGTCATGTTTCCTAACAAAATGCTATTAAGTAACAAAGATAAACTTTTAGACCATTTTTCTATAGGTATATAATGTCACAATTCAAAAAATGTTTATTTTATAGTATATTCTTTCCTATATATGTGCCCACAAGTCCTTGCTTTCTTGCCAAGTCAGACTCCCAGACATGCATCAGATTCTTATTTCTTATCCATGTCCATGCAACACTGCCAGTAACACTGGTATAATGGTAATAATTCTCAGTTACTGGGGGTGTAAACACCTTGACAAATAGGTCCCCCAGTTAAGTTCAATTATAGCTCCTATAACTGCCTTTGCAGAATCTCCTACACTGATATAAGGGCAGATATTCTCAGTTACTGGGGTCTGGGGCTGTAAGTAGAGAAATGGATTCACAATTTAATATCCAATTCCAGATTAATAGGATTGGGTTTGGATCAGATAAGATCAGATAATTGACAGCCTTATCAATTACCCTTGAATAGAAATTTTCAACTATAACTCCTACAATTGCCTTTCTAGCCATACAACCATGGAACAAGCTATCTGGCTCCACAAAAAGCAGACAGGGACAGGAATGAGTTGAACAAGTTATCATTACGGTATACCATATTTGAAACAAGGGGTACTCTTGCCGTGTCACCCTTCCTTCTCATTGGCGCAGCAAGCCAGCAACAAAGGAAACTGAACACTGCAACCAGCACCACCACCATTGCCAGCACCGTCACCAGACCCGCCTGCTAGTTAGAAGCCTGTTTTTCCTGAGAACGACATGAATGAAAATAGAGGTATTTCTGAACAATGGCTTCCAAAAATCCCTCCGCTTCCTCCGGATCCTGCTGTAGGTGTCTTACCGCTTTCTTGTACAGAGGTTGAGATGAGACCTGACCAGGGGTATGAGAAGCAAGTCGTAGATTTCAAGAAAGCACTGTTAAAGATTAAGGAGTCACAATGGCTGACTGATCTGGAGGATGATATTGTTATGAACACAAAAATGAAGGAAAAGGAAAACATTATTGAATTGGCTGCTGCAAATGGGACATCCGGCGATGGTCAGAATCCTAGTATTTCATCTATTGACACAAACATGACAGAAAACAAGGTTTCAAACTCTGGTCAGCCACAGGATGTTACACAAAATGATAATGAAGTCAGAATTCCAGAGAGTTTGAAGGAGAGAGTTTGGAAACCATGGAAAGCCACACTCATTGGTAAATTACTTGGAAAACCAGTTGGTTTCCAATTCTTTCAAAAGAAAATCCACCAAGTTTGGAATCCTTCTGGAGAGTTGGATATTATCGATCTGTTTTAACGGTTTCTACATCTTTCGGTTCTCTAATAAAGAAGATTATGACAAAGCAATGTTTCAAGGACCTTGGATTGTAGCGAACCAATACTTGTCCCTATGTAAATGGAGGCCAGATTTTCGTGCAGCCAGAGAAGAAATCAATAATACTGCAGTATGGGTGCGAGTTGCAGAACTGCCTATCGAGTATTTTGATCAGGAGGTTTTGGAACTAATAGGCAATAAAATTGGAAGGCTTGTAAAGATTGACTCTGTAACTCAGTTGGCATCTAGGGGTAGATTTGCTAGACTGTGCGTGGAAATTGATCTCAGAAAGGCTCTCAAAACTCGTATTAAGGTGGAAGGGCAGTGGTATGTTGTGATTTATGAACGATTGCCTTTAATTTGTTTCAGTTGTGGGGTTGTTGGACATAAAAAAGATGAATGTCCAGAAAATCCAGAAAACAGGAAAAATGGAGATTCAAAAGATGATAGAGAATCCCATTTGAGCGGTGATCTGAGTCCCTGGATTCAAGTTGCAAACAAAGCCAAGAGGAAAATGGTAACGGTGCAAATAATGCACCGTGTAAATCTGATGGGATCAGTGATGCTCCGGTGACAGAGAAATCTCACTGGCTAACTGGATAATCCTTGGTGATAGTCAGCAACGAAACGAGAGGAAGGAGACGAACCGTCCCACGGAAGCGAACAGCTCGAGCCGAACCGGGAAACCAGAAGTCATGAGACCGTTACAAGGCATCATTGCCTCCGATAACAGCCGCAACCCAGCCATGCCTGCTGAAAGTGTTGAAGCAATTCCCCATGCAACTACAGATTTACGTGAAAAGAAATTATTTCTTGCCAAAAATCCATTAAGTAATACTAATAGATTTGTGGCTTTGTCTACAGGGGATGAACCAATGACAACTGTTAGCATGCAGGGGGAATTAAATGAAGAAAATGGAAAGAACAAAAAAAAAGCCATTAATTCAAGCGGCGCTGAACAAATGGCAGTTGAAAGTGCTTGCCAAGAAGATGATTGCATGGTTGCAGAAGAGACACTCTCAACTAGATATAAAAGCTCCACTGTACAAGGTAACTTAAGCTATAACTCTAATAAGAGAACTGTTAGTTCCCCTAAGAATGGCCTCTTAGCAGAGACAAACGAACGACCAAAGCCAAGTCTCAATACCACCCATGATGCCATCAATAATCCAACCACAACTTGGCCGGAATCCCACCACACAGTGCCAACAGCTCCTCGGCTTCATGATCTCATGGATTTGGGTTCCTACAGACAACAACAGGATTCAATTCCTACAACAAAGGTTTCATCTACTGGTACTGAGAGAATTAGTGACCCATTGTCGAACCACCAGCAACTCCATCGGACAAACTCCAAGCACAAACCACAGAACACAGACCCAATTAGAAAATCCTTACAAACCTCTAGAAATCCTAAACGTCTGGCTAGTAGAAAATCCAATGCAAGTCGAGATCAACTCAAGGAGGAATTATACAATGATAATATGGCCCCATCATCATACAGCCTTGATAACACTTGCAATAACAGTAGAGACCCAAGACCATTTAGGGTTGAGTGTGAGAGTACACCATTCCCCATTTTGGATCCTAGCGAGAAACAGGGTGGCAGACCCCCCTAACGTTCATATAATGGCGGCATTTCGAGACACTATCAATGTTTGTAACGTCATAGACTTGGGCTTCTCCAGCCAGAAATTCACCTGGACAAATGGTCAACAAGGTATAAGAAATGCCAAATCTCGTTTGGATCAGTGTCTAGCTAATTCAGATTGGAGAGTGATATACCCCCACACAACAGTTATTCATCTGCCAAAAACTTCCTCTGATCACTGTCCTTTGCTCATTGATTTAACTGGTACGTTTCCTAACCACAATCCTCCTTTTTTGTATTGAGCATGTGTGGTTTACAAATGATTCTTTTAAGGAGGTGGTGAAGGAGGCTTGGCAAGTACCTTCATCGTCTTCAGCTATTTCTCTGGTTTGTAATGCTTCTAAAGCTTTGCCCTCTCTCACCAAGTCTTGGAATATGAATGTTTTTGGTAATGTTTTCAAAAGGAAAAGACACATTTTGAAAAGAATTGAGGGAATTCAACAATTTTTGGAAACAAGGCCTTCTCAGTTCCTCAATGATCTTCAAATTTCTCTCCATGAGGAATGTTTCAACATCCTCAAACAGGAGGAAATACTGTGGAGCCAAAAAGCCAGATTTAATTGGCTAAAAAATGGTGATTTGAACACCAGATTCTTTCATACTATGGCTCTTAAGAGGGGTCAGTCAAAAAAGAATTTTTATACTCATCATCTTCAGTCAACAACCAAAATCCTAACCTTGATCCTTGTTTTGGTGATGTTCCTAACAATATTGATCAATGGTTCACCCCAGTCACAGAACAAGAAATTAGAAGCATTGTTTGGAGTTCACCAAACAATAAAAGCCTGGGTCCTGATGGTATTACTGCTGAATTTATCAAAAATCATCGGGACATTGTTGGCCCATCATTTACTGATGCAATCTTTGAATGCAATGACAACTCTGAAATTCCAGACTATTTTAACCAATCCCATATTGTTTTAATTCCAAAAGTGAAACACCCTGAAACAATGAATCAGTTCCGTCCTATTGGTCTTTGTAACACTATTTATAAGGTAATTGCGAAGCTTATTGTAGCTAGACTCAAACCTCTCTTGCCAAAATTCATTTCCCCAAACCAGTCTAGCTTTGTCCCCGGCCAGCATTTAAAAGATAATGTGATCATTTTACATGAAGTTCTTCATTCTTTCAAAACGAAAAGCGGTAAGGAAGGTTTTGTTGGAATTAAAATTGACCATGAAAAAGCTTATGATAAGTTTGATTGGTCATTTATTAAAAAGTCTCTTGATTTCATTAAAATCCCCAAGAAATGGGTTAATTTGATCATGAGCTGTATTATCACCCCTATTTTTAACGTTATCTTTAACGGTTCAATTCTTGAACCATTTAAACCCACATGGGGACTTAACAAGGGGACCCCCTCTCCCCTTACATTTTCCTAATTTGTTTAGAAACTCTTTTGGGTATGCTTAATAAAGCTGTGGTGAGATGAAGCCATTTAAATTCTCTAGAATAGGCCCTGGGTTATCTCACATCTTCTATGCAGATGACTTTTTTATTTTTCTAAAGGCCTACACTCAGCTCAATAGTGTGAGAAATATCTTGGGATAATTTCTGTAATGCTTCAGGGGAAACAATTAACTACAGTAAATCTATCTTATTCACATCAAAAAATGTTCTCCATAGACACACTCGAATGCTGGCCAGAAATATTAGGGTTAGGGCTTCCAACAACCTTGATAAATATTTTGGGCTCCCTGTTTTCAGTGGCAGGGTTACTAAGCATACCTTCCATTCTGCGGTGGACCGTGTTCAAACCAAATTAGCAGGATATAAGGCATGAGGAGGAAGAAGCATCACCAGACCCCAAAAAGAACGGAATACCTGGACCAACAAGGCAAATACTCTTAGTCTTGCTGGTAGATTAACCTTTCTCCAATCTACTCTATCCTCAATTTCCCACCATGCCATGCAAATTTTTTGTTTACCCTCTAGCACCTGCCAAGATGTAGACAAACCTAGAAGAAATTTTCTGTGGGGAAGTTCTCTTGATCACAAGAAATTGCATTTCATCAAATGGGGGAAGATTCTGACTCCTAAGCATGCTGGAGGGCTTGGAATTAGAGACCTTCACTTCTTAAATCTAGCTCTTCTCACTAAATTAGTGTGGCCCCTTTATTGTAACCAAGATAGTTTGTGGTCCAAAGTCCTAATTAGTAAATACAGTAGGGAAACTGATGTTTTGGACCCATCCGTAAAAGGTCATGACTCTTGGATTTGGAAGGGAATAGCTAAAGGCTGTAAATTTCTTAGGGAGGGACTCATACGTGTTATTGGGAATGGAGAAGACACTAAATTTTGGGATGACCCATGGGTTACTAGGACTACCTGTAGGCAGAATCAGTTGCATGGGCCTCTCCCAAATGTTGATTTGAGGAATGTAAAAGACTGTATAACTGCTTCTAGTGATTGGGACATCAACCTGATATCTTCTCTCTTGCCGAGCGATATGGTTGAAAAAATCATGTCAATCCCTTTAAATTTAAGGCCGCAAAAAAAATGACCATTGGATATGGCCTGACAAGAAAATGATCTCCCTAAATCTCGAGCTTTTAATCTGATTTGGAAAGCTCCATGTCAACCAAGGGTGAAAATATTTTTGTGGCTACTCTACCATAGAAAACTCCCCACTCGCGATGCTCTAATAAAGAGAAATATTCAGGTTCCTAGTGAATGCTCCCTATGCAATGAGAGCATGGAATCGATTCAACATGTGTTTATGGAATGTAGGTTATGTAAGGAAGTTTGGAATTTATATGATAATCATCCCACACCCACTAGTGCACTAAACTTTAAATGTTGGGTTGAAAGTAATCTAGAGACTAGTAATACTCTCAGGGTGACTTATTTTAGCTATTTAAATTGGCTGATTTGGAGGGCCCGAAATAAAAAAAAAAAAAGTCTTCAACAATATCAGTTACACTCCCACTTATATTACAAATCTTGCAAAAAACTATGTTGACAGCTTCCTGTGTGCACAGTATATTAATGCTTCTGTCAAGAATCAACCTATTTGCAGAGTCTAGAGAGACATCAAATGGGAAGCTCCGGATGATCAATGGATCAAAATCAATACAAATGGAGCTGTCAAGGGCCAGAATTGTGGTGCTGTGGCTGGGGGTCTTCTCCGAGATCAACTTGGACAATGGAAAGGAGGCTTCACCACTTACATTGGAAATTCCTCTATTGACTTGGCAAAATTGTGGGCTTGTCTTGGCATGGAACTCAGGCTACCGCAAAATCATTTTGGAATCAGATTCGCATTCCACCATTCAAATTCTTAAGGGTGGTAGGGATGACCACTGGCGTCTTTCTACAATAAGCGAGGAGATCAAAGCTCTTTTGAATAGAGATTGGAAAGTTCGTATTAATCACTGCTACAGGGAGGCCAACAGATGTGCTGACTTTATGGTTAATTCCTTATACCTCCTAGAGAGCTTGAGTTTCTTCTGTTAGCTGATGTTATGGGGGTAGTCACCCCTCGTTTAATTTTGGTTTGAGTTTTCTGTTTCTGTGTTTTTTTGTTTTTTTTCTCTCAGATGAATCAAAAAACAAACAAGGGATTCTTTAAAGATAAACCGTTACAGTTACTGTGATATTCTGTATAGGACCAGTGTATAACTTTTGAGGTGTCATGTCATAATCATTAAAATAATGGAAATGCAATCTATGGGAAACAAAACACACACACACACAAAAAAAAAAAAAAACATTGTTAAGGAGGTTTCTTATAGATAAGATAAACTCTATGTAGGCATGACATTAATTGCCTATGGTCAAACTGAATACAGTAGGAACATTGCACACTTGCAGTAACTTACCACTACTGTCCATGATAAGATCCAATGCAAAGTACTCCACAAAGAACTGTGTATTATGTTTCATAGCCTGACCATATAAAGTGTGCAGCAAAGCATGGCCCGTTCTATCAGCAGCACATGCACAACGATAGGCCTGTCCACCTATAATAGCAACATTAAAGAAGCTAAACAGAAAACTTCAAAGATGATTCAGGTAAATGGCAACACCACCTCGAACTCGCATTTTCATACCTTTTCCAAAGTCCAGGCTTTGACCACCAAATGCACGCTGATAAATTTTCCCATCTTCAGTTCGAGAAAATGGCAATCCATAATTTTCAAGCTCTATGACCGCTTTTGGTGCCTCCCTGCACATATACTGAATAGCATCCTGATCACCTATACAAACCCAATAGACATGCACCTTAAGTACAAATACTTAAACAGAAAAAGGGTGTGGGGGACAAAACTAAACAAGGCATCAGAGAAGTTTCTCTATCAGTTCAAAGAATTCTTGAAGAATCTTGCATTTGTTAAGATATCCATGATACCCATCAGTTTTTTTTTCTTTTTTTTTTCTGCAAGGCTGGGAAGATCATATAAAGAGAATAGAATTTCTACTCAAAATAATTTATGCAAGACTAAAGCTTTATATAGGGGGCACTGTTAAGTCCTTAGTTTTGCTGGACTAGGAGCAGGTTATTAAGCTATTCCCAATCACAGCTTAGAGAGAGAGAAGGCTTTCTTTCTAACTTGATATTTTAAGCCCAGTGCCCCAGTTAGTCCTATGGGTGGGCTGAAACAATTTAGGAAAAAAAGGGGTCTACAGTACCAGTTTAGTGAACAGCAAACCCTAAGTTAATTGGGCCTTATTTATAATGCAATAAACATTTAATGGGCCTGCAGTAGAGCCCATTTAATGGTGCAGTAGGCCCTAAAAGAATTAAATTTATATTAATTAATAATCTTGTGAGGTGTCCAACCTATTTATAAAGGGGATGCCACTTGTCTTATCCTAACAAGAGGGCTATTTTCCCTCCTTTAGCCACTTGAAGTGGGGGGGACACATGTCACCTTAGGGGAGAGAGTTATTTTCCCTCCTCTAACCACTTTAAGTGGGGTGACACGTCACCCTAAGAAGAGGGAATTATTTTCCCTCCTCTAACCACTTTAAGTGGAGGGACAAATGTCATAGTATGAAGGGAGAGTTTTCTTTTCCCTCCTTAACCCATTTTAAGTGGGGTGACACTTGGTGCCCTAAGAAGAGGGGTGGGGAGTTACTTAACCACCTCCCTCCTCTATAAACCCCTCTACTACAAGGAGAGGGGGCTAATGCCATTTTGTTGGCCAATGCTATTCTATTGATAGAACTTCCAGCAATAAGAGACAAACAAGAGGAGAAAAAAGAGAAGATAGTGGTGTGAAGAAATAGAAGGAGAAAGAAGAAGGTAGGGATTGAAGTGTTCCTCCTCCACCTCTTCACTATGATATTCATGCAACTTCCTCTATGAGAACTATGTCTCTCCTTGTACTTATTTCACACTTTCTTTCTTTATTGTTATCTTTTTTTTTCTTTTTCTCTCCTTGTCTCACATTTAATCATGTGAGGGAAACAACCATATCATTACTTTATGTAAGGAAGACAACCATCTACAGCATTGTTCATGAAACTTGGCTGATTATGGTTCCTCACACCACATTAACCTATGTGTGAGGGGGGAAAACCATCTACAACCTAGTTAAAAAAAAAAAAAAAAAACCTTGGTTGATTATGGTTCCTGACACCATGATAATGCACATAACCACTATTTAAAGGCCATTTACAGCCTTATTCATTAAATACAACTATTTATAATCCCTATTTGCTAGTTATGCATAAAAAGTTTATTTATTTATATTTGCTAGTTTTCTTTTAAACAAAAAATTTATCTATTTATATTTAGTCTATTCATCCATACTTCTAAATCAGAATCAAGAGGTTTTCTCTGCCCCTGGCAAAGATGTAATTAAGGGAACATCTACGTGATTTCCTAAACGGGACTTACCCAAATATCAAAAAACCTAGTTATTAGTCTAATTCGGTGAATTATGTTATGTGAGAAATTATGCTAAAAAAATTTCCACTAACAATGCCAAATGAACATCTAATTTTTAAAGTAAATAATTTTGAGTTGAAACATTTTGTATACCTAACCAATCACTTCCTTTGACTGTGTCATACATGTGCCACCTCCAATCATCTTCTGTCATATTTCCTAATGCAGCATTTATTCCACCCTGCATGAGATCCCCACAATAAAGTTAGCAATACGCCCAAGTAATAGCTACAAAATTAACTTAAAGGTCAATATTTTAATCAGCTCTGCTTAAAAGTATTTGAGTAGGGTCATAAGTAGTAGAACACCATCATGAACCCCTCAAAGGAGAATGTGTAACACTGAACAGAACTTTGATGGACATTTGTTAGGAAACTTTGGCTCACTGAACACAGAGAAATTTTTTACAAAAGCAAAGGAGGACTAGAGGAGCACCTATCTATGCTCTTCAGGAGTGTTGCATGAGCACTGCTTCAAGCCTCCAACAAAGCTGAAGCACTTGCTCTCCTACACGACCTTAAAATCTCCAGAGACCTGAATTTCAGTTCTCTAGTGGTGAAAAGTAATTCTTGAAGAGCAATGGGAATCATCTAGCCACTTGTTTCCTGCACCGTGCTTTCTCTAGCAAGATCTGGTACCACTATCAAAGAACAATTCAGATTTGTAGCTTCCTCCCTCAATCAGTTGATGCTCTTCTTAGTTCCAGGTATGAATAAAAAGGGCAGGACAGTCTGGTCAGTGGTTCCCTTGGCTATAATTTAGGCAATCTAGTTAGAAAGGAACAGCAAAAGTTTTAAGATGAAGAAAATTCTCATTGAGGTGGTTGCCAACTCATCCTTTTACTTCATTAAAGATTGGCTCTTCATCTGTAGAGAGTTTTGTGGAGAGTTCAGTCATACCTTTTTGTCTATAATTTTTTTTTCGGCATTCCATTGTAGCCCTATGGATTTGATGTATTCTTTGTACAAAATGCGGATATTTTTTTTATATCTAATTCATTATACTTTACCTTTAAAAAAAAGTAATTCTGGAAATATCCTGTTAGAGTAAACCAGTTTAAATGCAACAAAAAAATGGAGGATTTGGAATAAATTTAAGTTAGCTTGGGATGAGGAACCAGGATGAAAGATCAGATACACATAAATAGACTATGCAATAGCCATGGTTTTAAGTTTCAACTGAGACCAAATTATTTTCATTGAAATCTTTCCATGTCCATGGAAATCAAGATGAAAATTTCTTCAAAATCTTGGTAAAAAATAACTTCCAATGAAACTATATTCCGTTTTGATTGGTTTCAATAGAATGCTACATTCAAAGCATAAGGGACGTGGAATTTCAATGTGGCATAAAAATATTTAAATTGAAACGCGAAAAAACATTTTAATTCAAGAATCTCGTGCATACACCATAAAATGTGTTACCATATCTTTCCTTTTTTTTTTTTTGATCAATAAAACTTCAAATTTTAGCTATACCAAGATCATATCTTTCCTATTTCAATAGTTATTTTGGACATGACCTGGGTTTAAGTGTTTAGTTTCCCAAAGTTTGTCACAATTTTTTATATTTTTGTAAGGTTCCTAATAGTCTTCATAATTGGCAATGCTTAAACAAGTATACATAAGTTTCCACAGATTATTTCACTTCCAATAAGGACCTAAGTTTAGCCTGGTATTCGTTTTGAGGCTTGAACAGGAATGGACAGTTAAACAGGTTGACCAATGATCTAGTCCTAAAACACTTATCAAAAACAAAAAAAGATCTAGTCCTAAAACATTGAATTGGCCAAAGCTTTCAAAGTAAACCATAATGGTGGGAGTAAATACAATATAATATTTATTGTTTTCAGTTTTTTTGGCACAAAATAAAATTAAAATGAGTTAATACTTTCACTATTCTTCTAATTTTTTCCATATTTTTTCTTTTGATCCACCAGACGGTACCCTTTGCAGAATAACATACACCTTGGGATTCAGAAATCAGAACATTAGTTTAGGCTAAAATCAAAGTTTAGAAGCTAGATGGTAGCAACTCTAAATTGAGATAAAATAAGAAATCATAAGAAACGAAAAAGAAAGAAGAAGAATAGTTGTTACTTTAAAGCAACACCAATAAACTAATGGGGAAAGACTATAATAAAAGAAAGAGAATTGCCACATTTCTAATGCATTAATTGCTGTATTTTTTTTTTTTTTTGATATGTATGCATTAACTGCTGTATTCCACAAGCTAGAAATCACCTATCAATTTGATTGGAATGTGGCTCAGCAAAAAGTGGGCCAAAAACATGGTGCTCATTGGGCCAAACAGGAAAGTCATAGGTCTTCGCTTTGCTGAGCACTTTCAAATCCAACCCCCAGATTGACCACGCTCAAAACATGCATAATTACTACACCTCTTCAAGTGAAGGATGATTCTTATACACTCATTCCACAGGTTCTAAAATAGGGAGGAAGGGCCACGTAGTCGAAAGACTTTATACTATGCCCTTTGCTTGCTTTTCTCCTAAAATTATATCCTACACTATGACCAGGTGATTAGCTCTGTAGTCTCAGTTTGGAAAGAGTACAAATACACAGTGCAAATACAAGGTTTAGAAATACCATATACAAGGTTTTGCATGAACGTATTTGTATTTGTACTCTTTCCAAACAGAGACGTAAGGATAGTGAAAACGTGTTATTTAATTAGTCATACAAGGTTGTATAACCCTAGGTCCTGAATTATCATTCACTTCTTTCAATAACCTGAGCAAAAACACCAGGAGGGATAAAAGGAATGAAAGAGTTCTGCAGCAGTACAATTTGACTTGTAAGTCCAATTAATAGCCATATTTTTGACAGATGTATCATGTATGAATATTATCGGTGCAAACGTCCATGGTATCTTGTAGTTGTCAATTTCAGTAAATGGCCCATTAAAGAAATATGAAAACATTTTGGACATGACCCACACGAACAGCTCCGCCAATATGGCTCTGCTCTAGGTTGATTTTGATATCCAAAACGAAGGTTCTTCGTAAACACTTACCATTTCTGCATAGAGCCAGAAGTACAGGTTCTCGCCATTGAAAATGATAAACCAGCAGTTCAGTGGTCCAGATCAATAATGACACCTAAATACCATGCATAGAAGAAGGGCAACTGAAAACGAATTTCCGGGACAAGCTCTCGCACCTGTGCTGCAACAGTATGTGAACGAGTCGGAAAAAGCTTGGTAATACAAGCTGTATTGAATCCATGCTCCGAGAGTCCAATGGCCGCTCTGAGCCCAGCACCACCAGCTCCCACAACAACAGCATCATATGTGTGATCGACGATAGTATAAGAGGATCGTCCCCCAGTCTGCCACAATTAAAAAAATCGAACATATCATCAAATGCGTCTCAAAAGTCAAAATAAATACGAACAAAGAAAGAAAATATCAACAAAAAAAAGAAAAAAGGGAATATTTTCACAGTAACATCTAACAAAAATCGAAGTAAAATGTATCATAATACAAACACAAGATACAAACCAGATCGAACGAAAAAAACAAAACAACCAGATGGTTGAATAAAACTAAAAAAGAGTAAAAGAAAACAACCGATCGACAGATAAAAATGGAAAAATAGTAAAGAATGAAAAAAAAAGGAGCATATTGGAGAAAAGCAAGTGGTCAGCATGAATTCAACGAAATTTTGAAGTTTAGATTATTAAAATGAGTTTCAATTAATTAGAGAGTCGTGATGAACAGAAGAAAAGATTCATGTGAACGTACTGATTCAGTGGAGAGGAATCTTGTGGTGAGGCGTTTAAGAGGTTCGCTTGAGATAGATCTCTTCGAAGAGGAAGAAGAAGGAGAAAGACCGAGGCCACGAGAAACGCAGCGCCACATCGCTCCGTATTACTGTCTCGACTTCTCTGTTCACTCTGTCGCTCTCCTTTGGAGATCGCACGGGCTGCGAAATGGCAAGACGAGGACAGAGGGAGAGACAAGACTGGAGGCATACGAGGAACTTGCAAATACCCCAGATTCTGTGGGAAATTGCTAATATGCCACTTGATTGTTTGAGTACAAGATTAGTGTGCAATGACGATATTACCCTTCTAACTTTTTTGTTTTACCTGACTAAAAATCACCTATGCTCTAAGGCACTAGAAGGGGTTTCCGGGCAACGAAATGCAGTAAGTGGCCGGAAAGAATGAGAATAAAACTATAGTAAAATTAGCGGAATCACGTCAAGCACGCGATTTATTAAATTAAAATAAATAATAAAAACATATAAGAGTATAACTAATAGAAACATATAATAAGAGTATACAATTGTTTTATATAATAATTAATAATTATTTATATTTTTAATAATTTTTTTATAATACAAAAATAATAATAATTAATTTTAGATATAGATGTTTATCAAATTTGGGGATGACAATTTTCTCCATTTCCTTGATCCCCGTGGGGATTTGCCCCGAATGGGATAGGGATGGACAGATATGGGAAAATTTTCATCCCTGTTAGTGAGGACAGGGAGAGCACTCATTGCCTTACGGGGACCTTGATCCTCACTGATATATATGTGTATATACGAATATGTTTATATATATATATATATATATATATATATATATATATATATATGTACACATACGTCTATATGTTAATATTTTTAAAAATATGTTTGAATCTTTTCTAATAGGATTGTATATTTTAATTATTTTATTTTTTATTTTTAAATAAAATAAAAACAGAATGGTTGACATTATAAAGAATTATGAAGAGTGGAGATCCTTGTGGAGACGGGGATGGGGATAACTTTGTCCTCGTTAGCAGGGAAGGGGAGAGGCTCCTCGTCCCTACCCCGCCCTGTTGCTATTCCTAATCAAATTAATGAAACTGACCAACCCAATTTCCAATATTCCCAATCAGCTTTGGTTCAACAATTTCTCAACCCGACTGGGTTGGATCAATTTTGCTTTGGCCATTTGTAAACTGACTAAAATCGAACGATCCGACATAGATATATATTAATATATTATATTTTAAAAATACTTTTTTAATACGGGAAAGTGGAAATTGAATTTTTGAATTACCCCAAACCAATATAACATGAGTGACCAACTCCCCAACCTAACTAGGTCGATTTTGTTGATCAAACAACCTACAACTGAACTGAACAAACCTGCGAACAATAGTTTAATCTCCAATAATTATTACAAATTTATAGCAAAAATACACAATAAATTAAAATTAAAAAGCTAAACAATAGTAGTTTAAACTCTAATAATTATTGAAAATTTTCTATTAAATAACAAAACAAAAAGTAGATTTATACATAATTATTGAAAATATATTTATCACAAAAACAATAAATAATTATTGAAATACAATAAATATTAATTTTTGTATATATAGATTAAGTTTTTAAAACCATTATTAATAAACAATAATTTTTTTGAAAGTTATTTTCTAGAATTATTAATTGGTATAAATGAAATTACTTGCTGAATTTAATAATCCATAAAATTATATTACTATTAATACAAAATATTGTTATTTTAACCATTTAAAATCTAGTTGTGTTAAATATTTTGTTATTTAAAATATTTAGTGATTTAACTAAATGTTTAAAATTTTAATCTATTTATTATAATTGAAAGTTATTCAATAACTATTTAAAGTATATTATTAATTAATTTAAAATATTAATCTTAATATTTTGTTATTTAAGATATTTAGTTATTGAAATATTTAAATAATATTTAATAATTTTAGGATATTAGATTATTTACGTTATTGGAAAGTGTGGGAGAGAGAGAGAGAGAGAGAGATTTTAGGAAGATTTTTTGGGGGGAGAGTAAAGTTTCTAATTGGTAGCTTCAAAAATGACATGAATTAAAAAATTAAAAAATGAGAAAATTTCTAGACTTCCTTGTTTTAATATATACTAGCGGGAACCCGTACAGGGATTTATTAAGCGAAAGATAAATAATAGAAATGGTCATTTACTAAAATACCCTTGTAGTTTCATAGATTTACTAAAATCTACCCTATATTTAGCATTTTACTAAAACACCACTTATAATTTGCAATGGATTTAATCAATCTTTCATTAGATAACGGTGGAAAATGATAGTGTTGACCCTAATGTTCATTTAAATAGATTTAATCAAAAGAAAATATAAATGGAAATACCATTTTTGTCCTTAATAAGACATAGACAACCACTTTATTGAATATATTTGGCCAATTATGTTTCTATATAAAAAAGTGTTAAGGGTATTTTTGGAATAAAAAATCATAGGCCTAATGGCAAAACAAACACTCCTTAATGAAAGGTTGATTAAGCAAATAAGTTGTAAAATATATGGGATGTTTTAGTAAAATGAAAACTATAAGGTAAGTTTAAGTAAATATATAAAACTATAAGGTGTGTTCTAATAAATGACCCTAATAGAAACATATAAGAGTATACAATTGTATTATATTTTAAACTTTTTAAATAATTAATAATTATTCATATTTTATACACTACTTTTAATAAAATTTTTATAATACAAAATAACAATAATTAATTTCAATTAGGTTCATTAGTCAAACTTATGAAACCGACCAACCCAATCAACTCGACCCGAGTTGGTCGGTTTTCTAGTATTTTATGTTGGCTTTGATTTAAAAAATTCCCAATTCGACCAAGTTGGATCAGTTTCACTTTGGCCATTTGTAAACCAACCAAAATCGAATAACCTAACCATGATTTTATATTTTAAATATGAAAAAGTGAGAAATTTCCCATATTTCTTAGTCTAAAATGTCTTATTTCATCAATCTAATTTTTAAATTTATTTTTTAATAATTGCACTATAATTTTTAAAATTATATTTAATTTATAAGTTTAAATCTTTTGAATCAGCTGACCTTTTGTGAAAACAACCCAAACCGATACAACTTGAGTGGGTCGGTTGTCACAAAAGGTCAGTCGATTTTAGCTGACCAACTCCCCAATCAGGTCAATTTCGTTGGCCAAATAGCCTACAGTCGGACCGAACCAACTCATGAACACTCATAATTTTAGCTAAATTAATAGTCTTATCTCCAATAAATAACAATAGTTTAATCTCCAATAATTATTGAAAATTTATAACAAAAATACAGAATTATTGAAAATATATTGATAATGAAAAAAATACAAAAATATAATAAATATTAATTTTAGTATATATAATTATATAATAAATACAAATTAAGAGAATAAAATTATTATTTAATAAATATTGATTTTTTTTGAAAGTTATTTTCTCGAATTATTACTTGATATAAGTAAAATTAGTTATTTACAATATTATGTAAAAATATTAAATTATTATTAATTTCAATATTATGTTATAATTATTTCTCTAATTTTCATAAGTTTTTAAATTTATTACGTAATTTATTTATTTTAACTATTTAAATCTAGTTATGTTAAATATTTTGTTATTTAAATACTTAAATAATATGTAAAATATTTAAATTTTAAAATATTAATTATTTGTTCAATATAATTATCCATAAAATCTTAATTTGTACTATTATTACATAATTTCATTATTAATTTTGTAATATACTAAATAATTATTAATTTCAATATTATGTTATAATTATTTTTCTACTTTGAAGAAAAATTTTAATTTATTACATAATTCCGTTATTTTAACTATTTAAAATATAGTTATGATAAATATTAAAATAATCTATAAAATATTTTAAATTTTTAGTTATTTGAATTTTATTTATTTAAAGCTATTACATATTATTAAATATTTGATTATTTGAATTTTATTTATTTAAAGCTATTACATATTATTAAATATTTGAAAAACATTTAAATTGATAATCCAGAAAAACATAATTTAAATTGTTAGTACATAATTTCGTGATATATTTTCTAGAAATATAAAATTATTTTTTGTGTTTTTAATAATTCTTTTAAAGTTATTATATAATTTTGTTAGGGTATTTAAATAATTCTTAAATTTTTTAATCCAAACTTTCTTTAGATAGATATAGATAAAAAGTAAGGGAGGGGATAAATAGAAATTAGAGATAATTTAGGAGAGAAACTCTCTACAAAATTAGAGATAAATTTGGATATAAATAGGAGTTAGAGATAATTTAGAAGATAACGAGGAATTAGAGATAATTTTGGAGAAAGTGGGGGAGGTAGTTTACAAGAAATTTTAGGAAAAGAGATTATTTAGGTTCTTGAAAAGTGCATCTCATTGGTCATTTACTAAAACACCTCTTATAGTTTCATGGATTTACTAAAATCTTACCCTATAATTTGTATTTTACTAAAACACCACTTATAATTTGTAAATGGATTTAATCAATCTTCCACTATATGATAGAGGAAAATGACAGTGTCGACCCTAGTATTCATTTAAATAAATTTAATCGAATAAATATAAAAATACCATTTTTACCCCTAATAAGACACGAACAACCACTATATTAGTTATATTTGGTCAATTTGTTTTCTATACAAAAAAGTGTTAAGGTTATTTTTGAAATAAAAAATATGGGCCTAATGGCAAAACAAACACTCCTTAATGAAATGTTGATTAAGTAAATAAGTTGTAAAATACATGGGATGTTTTAGTAAAATGAAAATTATAAGGTAGGTTTAAGTAAATATATAAAACTATAAGGTGTGTTCTAGTAAATGACCCTAATAGAAACACATAAGAGTATACAATAGTTTTATATTTTCAATTTTTTAAATAATTAATAATTATTCATATTTTATATACTACTTTTAATAAATTTTTATAATACAAAATAACAATAATTAATTTCAGTTAGGTTTATTCATCAAACTGATGAAACTGATCAATCCGATCAACTTGACCTGAGTTGGTCAATTTCCTAGTATTTTAGGTTGGCTTTGATTCAAAAAATTTCCCAACTCGACTAAGTTGGATCAATTTTGCTTTGGCCATT